TGCGAGGAGCTGACGCTGGTGAACAACTAAACTGTGTTTTGAAGTGCTCCGTCCAGCGTGCAAGACGTCGCTGTTGATTGTGAATGGGCGAACCGTCAGCTTCGCAGATCGTTTCGCTCCCACCCAAGGCTTTCTTCCCGGTGACTCGGATGAGATGAAACAGCTTACGGGGATTTCCCATGGCGGCAGCATTGTCCATTTCTGATGCACGTTGAGTCCACCAGATCTCGTGGTCTCTGCGTAAGCTTACGTTGAGGTTACAACTCTTTGCTTATCGTATTTCATTATGCTCACTGCCGGTCGGGATTAATGGGTGTGCGTCGAGAAGGCATAGAGATTCCGCAGAAATCCAGGGTATCGCTGCACGACGTGTCAGATCACAAATAACTAAGCCAGTAGAATGCAGAGCATTCTTGATAATCGACCAGTGCTGGTTAACGTCATCGCGTGGGGTTGATTATAGCTTTTCTGCTAGCGCGTTCTGAAAGACAGTTTGGCGTCCTGGTTCAGACAACTTATCACAGTCTAACCGTCGATTTGTCATGCGTTTGGAACGCCCACCGAAGCACATGGACAGCTTGGCGCAAACTAACGCATCGTCAGATTCGAGGGGAGTGCTCCAGTACGATCGGCAGTCTTGTATATATCCCCGCCATTTGTATCTCATAGCTTATATCGATTTGCGTCCGTCTCTAACTCGAGGAGGGCGGACGCCAGGTAGCTTACCGGCAGTTGGAGCGCCTGAAATTCGTAAAGGCGTGGAATAGGCGGTGGTCAGAACAAAGAGCCAACAGTCGTTCCTCGTTTTCCGAACGACAGGAATCTAGTCCGAAAGGACCACCCAGTTGCGCCTCACTCAAAACCAGCCGACCTACTCTAGCATTCATATCTCCTGCTCAAATCACGATATCAGCCCGACTCGCTTTACGCAAGAGGTCGTGTAGGTTATGATAAAATTCATCTTTGACACCATTTTAGCTGCAGTCCGTTGAAGCGTACGCTGATACGACAAACAAGTTTCGTCTATCAGGGCGACGGCTGTTTACTTTGCACGAGCCTCTAAGTCTCACTGCGTATAACCTTCTGTCGACCGGGAACCATTCCAGGAGCGGAAGCCGCCGTCTTAGGGTCCCCAGAGAGGCGTAAGTGAAACTTCACAAATTGGTTTGATGGGACGTCAATCGGATAATGGAGCTATAGTCTTGAATGCGAGTTTCTTGGATGCAACACACATCGATGGCTAGGGTTTCGAGAGTACGAGCTAAACACGCATGTTGTCCTATACGCATCAGAGAGCGCACATTAAATG